AGCATTGCACGCGCGTGTGTATGTGTGTGTGTGTGTGTGTGTGTTGTGTGTGAATTTTCTACACAGGCAAAAAAAAGGTTTGATTATTTTATTTTTTAAGAGAGAGAGAGAGAATTTTTAATATTCATTTTTTAGTTTTTGATGGACACAACATCTTTATTTTTTTATTTTTATGTGGTGCTAAGGATCGAACCCAGAGCCCTGCGCATGCCAGGCGAGCGCTACCGCTTGAGCCACATCCTCAGCCCAGGTTTGACTATTTTAAAATGGCTAAATTATTGTGGCCTTCCTTAAGACTGATCCTGAATGTGACAGTTTACTTAATATGTAACAATACTAAACACAAAACTTTACCAAGTATACTGTATGCACCTGAGTTTTACATGCTTATTCTGTATTTAGAATGTACTCTGTCCCCAGCACTGCAGACTCGAGGAGATAAAATAAATTCCAAGCCCTCTTGGAGACATATAAAGCAAGATTCATTTTACAAATGAGGAAACCAAGATTCGGGGAGATCCATTGATTATCCAAGGTCACATACAGCATTTAAAATTCAAATAGAGAATTGAATTATTATTTTTTATAGCACTAACATGGGTTGCACTTAGTTAAGGAGTGTGATACTTCCTTAAAATGTGAAGACACAATCATCTCAACCAGGGACATGAGAAGTCTAAGGACAATGTAGGATTCTCCACTAAGATTTTTCCACTTTTATATGTTGCAGTATCTCCATTTTCTATTTGCGATTTTCAGGAAAACATTTAGAATAAAAGCACTAGGGGGTGTGGACTCAGGAAGCAGTAAGCAATGGGAGAAGGGAGCAAGAGAAAACTAGACCCCTGGTTCCATACCCCTGTTATCCTCATTCAAAACTGTGAAACTTGCCATGTACCAGGCAGAGAGTCTCAGGTACATTGAGGCAGACTTTTCTCCTTCAGTGTAAAATGTTTAAAGAAAAGCAAAGTTGTATACCATTCTGAATCCTTATAAAAGCATGATATGACTTAGATGAAGGTTTCTCAACAGCAACACTGCTAGCATTTTGAACCTAATAGCTCCTTGTTGTGAGGGACTATCCTGGGCATTATAGGATATGTAGCAGCATCCCTAGTCTCCAGCCTCAGGACTTCAGCTTCCCCATCCCATCCACCCCCTCACATTGTGAGAACCACAGACATCTCCAGATTCTGCCAAGTATATCCAAAGTGCTAAAACTGTCCTCTGTTAAGAATAAATAATTTAGAAAAGTCTTGAAAATCTTCAAAACTTTTTGGAAAATCTTACCAATGTGAAGATCCCTAACTAAATCCTTCTTTCCTCTACAGAAACTAGAACAAAACTAAATTCGTGGCCTCTTCCTTGTCGGCTCACAAATTCTTAAAACAGGGGTAAATTATAATACAAATAATAGATGAGGTTTGTGTGCCCTCTTGTGGTGTAATTCAGTAACAAGCATTAGATGGGGGCCGGTGGACAAAAACAAAACATTTGCACAGTTAATACAGAAAACTCCCTCCCCTTATGGAAAATATCGGGTTTTCCATCACAGGGAGAAAGGGACAAACCTGAAGAGTAACTTCTCCTGATGTAACACAGTACAAAATTATATAAAAACAATTTTTAAAATTAGTTGGTTACTGCAAACTTTAAAATCAGTAAATTATAGAGAGAACAAGAATACTCTAAGAAATAAGAAAAGAATGTTTAGGAAAGCAACTTTGTGTAATGACAGTAACGGCGAAGTAAATGGGTAGTAGCAGAACCTTGAAACATAAAACTAAATCTTTATTTTTATAGGATCCTTATTTTTATTCCAGTCTTTTACAAGTAACTCACCTAACTTCTCTGGGCCTTAGGTTCCTAACATGAAAATCAAATTAAATAAATATTAGATGACACTTCAGACATCATATAATCCAAATCTTCCGTAGAAAAGGAGAAATGGAGTCCCAGAAAGGTTTAGTAAAATCATGGTTAATAAGAGTCATGCTTATTCTCTAAATTGCCCTCCAACTTAGTCTATTATATAAAGCACATATTTACATGTAAAAGTTAAATGGCAGCTATTTATAAAGAGAAATGAATATATATGGTCAACTATATTTCACAGGTTGGTTTTAGTTGACAGATGACCGTCAGTGGCTCAGGTGCAATCCCAGCTTTGGGGTTCCCTGGGTAAGTATGGGATGAGGGTCAATGCCATAATGATCAGCCCTGTGGGAGAAAGGTTTGGGCAGGAGAAGGACTCAGCTCCTCCACAGGAGACTCTGAGGCTGGGATTGTCTAACTTCGGGTGGTCTTCTCCTGAGACAAGGGAATGCTTGTGTGAATCAGTCATGAGGTACAGACCACCCTGGGGAAGAGCTGTGACCATGAGCAAAACAAGAGCATTTTCCAGAAAGAATTCAGAGTTTAGTGCTGTCATCTGGCAGCACTCTGAATAGCTGATGCAAATTGGAGGTATAAGAGCTTTGATTCTGAGAGGACGTCTCATTGTCTATCTAATACAGAAGGCTAGCCTGAATGGGGTACCCTGGTCTCCCACCCTCAGAAACACTGCTTCCTGAGCCTGTGATGGAGCAGAAGAGGAGCCAAACGGACACCCCTACATGCCTTGGGAGACCAAGCAGACCTTGGTCATCTTAATACTCCCACCATGCTTGATTAATGGAAAAATGCATGGAATCAGACCCGAATTCCAATCCTGACACCACCTTTTATGAAACTGATTGACTTCTTATCTCAGCTTCCTCTAGGACATATTTTCTATACATGTCTTTCCTGCTATCACTTCCACTTACACCTCCATGTACAATAATTACACTAATTCAACACCTAAAATTTTCTCCCTCTGGTTTCACATTTGCTTCCAATTTAATTATTTTTTGTTCACCTACTATACTGAACTAAAGGAATTGTCAATAGTCAACAATTTTCAGTGGCAAGTTTGGTGCAAAAGTATCAATTTGGGTCAGAGGGATTAAACTCAGGGGCACTTGAACACTGAGCCACTCCCCCAGCCCTATTTTGTATTTTACTTAGAGACAGGATCTCACCGAATTGATTTCACAATCTCACTGATTGAATTCACAATCCTCCTGCCTTATCCTCCACAGCTCCTGGGATTACAGACATTTGCTATGCGCCTGGCAAAAAAAAAATATATCAATTTTGCCTATCCAAACACATGTTTCAGTCAACTAAACTCTAGTTTCCTTGAGGGAATAGCCTATGTTTCACTATACCACATTTGACCATGTGTTTCATTTGCATAATATTTACTGTATGCAAATACTTCTACATAGGTTATACCACTTAGAGTAGCCCTGTGTTATAAGGTTTGTAGATGAAACACTGAAACTCATAGACAATAGGTGACTACTCAAGGTCACATAATCCTGAGATAGAATAGGGGAGCCTAAGCCCATGTTTCCAGAAACTAAGTCAAGTGCTCTTTCTTTAACAGGGCAGAGCTTTTATGTTTGTTTACAGCCTCATGGTTTTGTAAAGTGGTTTATAAATGTCTATAACAATATTTTCCAAATAGACTCAAATAATGATCCGGTAACACTTCCAGGGCTGGTACTATTATACCCATTTGGTAAATGGATACTCCTTATTTATTCGTTCGTCCATCAGACATTTATTGCTACTTCTGTTATATGCAAGGTATCTTCCCAAATTCAAGGAGAAAAAGATAAATATGTCCTAATCCCTTCAACCAAGAAACTCACAGTTTAAGTCACATATGTAATCCCACGTCTGTAATCCCAGCAACTCAGGAGGGTAATGCAGGAGGAACACAGGTTCAAGGTCAGCCTGGGAGACTTACCAAGATGCTATCTCATAATAAAAATTAAAAAGGGCTGGGGCTCTAGTTTAGTGGCAGAGAATGCTCCTGTGTTCAAACTTCAGTACTCCAAAAAAAATTTTTTTTGAAGAAGAAGATCATACTAAGTGAAATAAGTGAACCTCAGAAACTCAAGGATTGATTGTTTTCTCTCATGTGCAGAAGCTAGAGAGAGAAAGAAAACATAAAGGAATCTCACAAAAATAAAAAAGAGATCAGTAGAGTAAGGGAATTGAAAGAGGGAAGAGGAAAGAAAGGACATGGGTAAATGCTGGGGAACGAAATCTACCAAATTACGCTATCTGTGTATGAATATACCACAATGAATCACATTTACATACATAACTATAATGCACTAATTGGAGTAATAAAATAATTATAATAGAAGGAAGATAAGTATAGCAAGTGGATCGGGAAAAAAGAAGGAGAAAGGGAGGGAAAGGGAAGGTATTGGGAAATGAGATCGATCAAATTATTATTATGTGAACATAAAAATAAGGTATAATAAATCCCACTTTTTATTTTTCCATATTTTTAGTGTTGCACTATAATTATACACAATGGTGGTATTATATATAATTATAATATACCCATTAAAAATATTTTTTAAATAAGATTATAATCCAGTGTAGGAGATAAATACCTCATGGACTAGTTAACCATTGCAGTATAATGTATGCAAGATAAATGCTAATGCAACTTGGCAAACAATAAAACTGAGGTGTAGAAAGAAACTGTGTAAATGACAAGAAGAAATATTAATTTTTTCTGGAATATTGGGAAAGTCTTTCTAGAGGGTGTAATATTTATAGTGTGCTTTGGAAAGCTTTTCTTGGGTACAAAATCTCACACAAAAAAAAAAAAAAAAAAAAAAAACCTTGGAAAATCTTTAGGGAGAGAATGAAAATCACATTGGAATTATAGTTTGTAGTTTTCTAAGAAAAAATTCAAATTGTGCATAACTTGTCAAAGTCTTGTGGCTGGTAAGTAGCCAAGTTGGCTTTGGAACCGGCCTTTTGCATCCCATTTGATGCTCTCCTCTTGTAAGGTTTTATGTAAAGGTTGATTTAATAAGTGCTATGTACTACGATACAACATGTTCTTTGTACTCCCCTCATGAAGACTGTCCTCTGTTCTTTTTCAGTATTCCAAGATGTGCATGTAATGATATTTGTTGGGTTTGGCTTCCTCATGACCTTTCTGAAAAAATATGGCTTCAGCGGTGTGGGTATCAACCTATTTGTCGCTGCTCTGGGCCTCCAATGGGGCATTATTATACAAGGGATCCTGCACAGCCATGGAGAGAAAATTCAGATTGGAATCAAAAAGTGAGTATCTTGGCTATGGTCTAAATGTTTTTGCCTCCTCCCCACCAAATTTATCTGATGAAATCTGAACCCCTAAAGTGATAGTAGAAGGTGGGCTCTGTGGGAGGTGATTGGTTCAGGAGGGTAGAATTTCCATAAAGGTAGATGCCTTTAAAAAAGAAGCCCAAGGGCTGGGATTGTGGCTCAGTGGTAGAGCGCTCGCCTAGCACAGGCAGGACCCGGGTTTGATCCTCAGCACCACATAAAAATAAGGGCATTGTGTTGTGTCCATCTACACCTAAAAGTATAATAAATATATTTTTTTAAAAAAGAAGCCCAAGAGAAAATCTTCTCCCTTTCCATAATGTGAGGACACAGCTGGAAGTAACATCTATGAACCAGAAAGCAAGCCCTCACCAGACACTGAATCTGTCAGCATCTTGATCTTGTTCTTCTAAGCCTCCAGAATTATGAGAAATAAATTTCTGTTGCTTATACGTTACCCAATTTATGGTATTTCATTCTAGCAACCAAAGAATAGTAAGACAATCCTTTATTTTTCAACCACTGTGTTTTCAGATCAGTTGTTTCTCTGTTTGGTTCATTGTCACTCTGGCTCTAAATTATCTGGCAAATTGTCTCTTTAGGCAACAGAAGAGTATTGAAATCTGAGGGTCCAAATCAGTGTCTTGCTCTACTGAGCTGAGTCATCCATTCATGTCTATAACATCTCTGGTTTAAAATAAGAAATCCCCATTCATAAAAATAACTGTCCCTTTCATCTCAGCTATGAGTAACAAAAATCTGTCATTAGATTTTTTTTGAAGATTTTTTTTAGATGGAATTATGTATTCTTGTTGTGAGACTATCAATAATTGCTCTAGGAAATAATTCTGTTTTCAGATCAACAAAACTAAAGTACTCTAAATGAGATAAAGGAAAAAGTGAGTTAAAACAAAGAAAAGTGAGGGCAACTGAAGAGCACATGGGCGAAAGGAGGTGGGGGAGGAAGTGGCAGTAAGAGTGGTCCTGGGAGGAATGCAGGATGAATGGAGAGGGGCTTGTGCCCAGCAAGGGTGGTGCTGTAGCTCCACCTTAGGACTCACATACATTTTGTATGGACTACTTTTCAATTGATTCTTTCTTTCCCTCAGCATAATAAATGCAGACTTCAGTACAGCCACTGTTCTGATTTCTTTTGGAGCTGTCCTAGGAAAAACAAGTCCCATCCAAATGCTCATCATGACAATTTTAGAAATTGCTGCCTTTGCTGGCAATGAATATCTGGTTGGTGAGATATTTCAGGTAAGGATTAAAGTGTTTATACTTGGCTAGCTCTAGCCAAGAGCTCTGACCTCTGCAAGTATTGGGTAGCCTCTCTATTGCTGGGGCAAACCTCAATGACAGGTGACAGCACAGCAGTGACGATAGCCATGGCTTACTGAGTGATGTTGTAAACGAGGGTTTCTATACACCATCTCACCCCATCCTCACAACAGCGTAAGGCAATATAGTTGTTGTGACCATTTACACACAATAAAACTGATGACCAAGCCAGGCGCAGGGGCACACGCCTGTAATCCCAGGAGCTCAGGAGGCTGAGGAAGGAGGATCACAAGTTCAAAGCCTCTGCAAAAGCAAGGCACTAAACTCGCTTAGTGAGACCCTGTCTAAATAAAATACAAAATAGGCCTGGGATGAGGCTCAGTGGCCAAGTGCTCCTGAGTTCAACCTCTAGTACCCAAAAATAAAATAAAATGATTACCACAGATGCTAAATCCCACCTTTCTGGAATTGAAACTCACTGTTTTCTAACTCCGTGACTCTTTTTATTACACTTTGTTGCTTATCAAATGATTAACTCCTATTCATATTTCAAACATAAGAGAATAGCCTATAAAAAGCCTTATACAAGCTATTGTTAAGGTCTTGATCAAATTTCTTTCTCTCCATGAAAATTTCATTGATTTCCCCAAGGTTTAGAAACAGATTATTTTCTTATTTTGTTTGTACCTCTATTGAACATTTCATGCAATTTTAAATATTTGAATTTCCCAGGTATTGGTGATTCACTGAGAAACAAAATAGTTGAGGCTCCTGTCTTAATAGAACTTAAAATGTAGTGAAGGAGACAAAAATCAAACAAATAATTACACATCCATCCCACCTGCCACAGGCACAAGAAATAAGGAGTAGGGTGAGGGGACATAAGAAAGTACTTAATTTAGATTGTAGAGTCAAGGAGGGGCTTCTCTGAGGAAGTGACAGTTAAGCTGGACCTGAAGGGGAGGTGAGAGTTTCTCAAGTAACTTGTAGGGAGAAATGTACTATAAGCCAAGGTAACAGTAAGTACAGAGCCTCAAACTGGTATTGAGGAACCGAAGGGAAACCTCTAGTTAAAGCAAAGGGAGCAGGGCTCAGTGGTGCACACCTATTATCCCAGTGGCTCAGGAGGCTGAGACAGAAGGATCTTGATTTCAAAGCCAGTCTCAGCAATGGTGAAGCATTAAGCAACTTAGTGAGACCCTGTCTCTAAATAAAATACAAAATAGGGCTGGGGATGTGACTCAGTGGTTGAGTGCCCCTGAGTTCAACCCCCCCGGTACCCTAAAAAATAAAAATAAAGCAAGGGGAAAGGTTTGGCTGGTACAAATGAAGCCTCCAAGTTAAGAAAATCAGATTAATCAAAGACCCTGCAGACATTTGGTGGCTCCAGCAGGAGAAACAGAACTGTTTCTTTTGACAAAAGTAACGTGGGCTTTTAAAGAGAGACACAGACTCATGTGATATTTGTAAAGTCCAAGTAGGATTAATTGCCGCCTCCTACTCTCCTGAAATCACCAAGTGAAGCTTAGGAAGGTTTCCCAACTGGGAAGGGACCCAGTGTTGTCTGGAGGCTGGAGGTTGACAGAAAGGTCAGAGGTGCTATGAGGACACCTGGAATCATTCCAGCCACGTATGGCTCTTCAGGGGAACGAGATCCATCCATGTCCAGTCAAAGATGGACACATCCAGAATAATCTTTTTACTTCCCCTCAACCCAATTTGAAAATCTTTAATTTGTATTTTTCTCCTGACTGAATAAATGCTGGAGCAACCAAGTCGGCGTGGCACTCTGCTTTGCTCTAGAGGCAGGAAATGCAGAAAACTGGGTCACACTGATGTCACGTCTCAAGAGGAAACTAAAACATGTTCTTTCAAGTCAGTCTGTCTCTCTCCCCCTACTATTAGTTTATTATATAACTAGTGTAACAGTCCTTTCATTGACATCCTTCCTGTAGTGAGTTTGGTTTCACCTCTATTTATGTGCATGCCATTTTTCCCCCTTAGGCCACTGATATTGGGGCATCAATGACCATCCACGCCTTTGGGGCCTACTTTGGCTTGGCTGTAGCAGGCATCTTATATCGATCTGGCCTGAGAAAGGGGCATAGGAATGAAGAGTCTACGTACTACTCGGACATGTTTGCAATGATTGGTGAGTGGGGATGAACTTGGCTGATTTTTGTCTTTTTGGTCAGGCATGCAGGAAAGTTACTTCAATATGATTGCAAAGATGCTTAAAAAGGAACCTCCTTTGAAGACGACTCTGTTTATGCTGCCTCAATGCTCCTCTTTTCTCCTAAATCTAGATAACTAAGCCTAAAATTAGAAACAATGTCAGTGACCTCAGCAAACTGCCTCCTTTGTATGGTCTTCCCCATTCAGAACTAATAGTCCTTCGTATGATTTGCAGGGACTATTTTTCTATGGATATTTTGGCCCAGCTTTAATTCAGCCATTGCAGAACCTGGAGAGGAACAGAATAGGGCCATCGTCAACACTTACTTCTCTCTTGCTGCCTGTGTGCTCACAGCGTTTGCCTTATCCAGCCTTGTCACACATGGAGGCAAGCTCAATATGGTGAGTGCCCTGTCAACCCCCGTGCAAATTTCACTCAGTGAAGCTCACAGTTGCTCCAATAAGTCAGTCATTCCTGCCTTACTGCTGAGCTACCAGGACAAACCACAAAACCACACACACCTTGGAGAATGTTTTAAAGAAAAGTAATAACGTTTATTCATTCATTCATCAAATGTGTACTCTGACAAATTCAGGTGTTCTCAAGAGATTTACAGTCTATAGGAAAGGTACTTGGTAAAAATCAAAGCTTTAAAGTATACTTCTTTCATAATAGACCTAACTGTTCCAAAGTTCTTAAAAAAAAAAAAAACTTCTTTAAATACAAGACCTGTCAAAGAGTTAAAAAAAAAAAAAAAGAATAACAATGGCATATGTTTATTGGATATTCCTGACCAAATATTCCTCTCAAAGAAATAACTACTAAATGCATTGTGGGATCCTGAATAGGATTCTGGAAAAGAAAAGGGCCTTAGTAGGAATAATAGTGAAAATCAAATAGGATCTTTAATTATTAACTCAGTGCTAATTTCATTTTTCTATAGTCATGTAAGATGTTAACACAAGGGAGATGAGTGAGGTATGTAAGGAAAATGCCTGCAGTATTTTTGCAACTTTAACGTGTATAGAACTAGTTCAAAAGAATATACTGTTGGGCTGGGGATGTAGCTCAAGTGGTAACGTGCTCGCCTGGCATGCTTGAGGTGCTGGGTTCGATCCTCAGCACCACATAAAATAAAGATGTTGTGTCAGCTGAAATCTGAAAAACAAATATTTTTTAAAATTCTCTCTCTTTCCCTCCTTTCCCTCTCTCTCTCTTTTCTCTCCCTCTAATATATATATATATAT